TTTAAAATGAAAGGACATATTGGAATGGGCTATCAATTTTTGTGGACATTCATGGGTGACCGGGGGGTGTTAAAGGCTTAAAAAAATCGAAACTTGTTTTTCAAAAAAAAAAATTTGAATATTTTTTACAACTTAAAATTTTTTTTTCCACCGGCAACGCCTGGCCCTTCAGCTAGTTACTTATATGTCTAAAAGTGTTCAGCTGAACCGAGTTTAAAGAATTAAAGCTACGTCGCTCTTAAGTACTTACTGCCGATGCCGGTTCAAATTTGAATTAGGATTAAAAGTTAAAGATTAAGAAAAGATTTTTATTGGGATTTAAATTTAACCGGGGTGGTAGGCTTTTCATTGAACGATTCTTGGTTACATTTCATAAAAGAAAGAAAGAAAGACGACATCAATAATTTCACTGTTTCTGGTAAGGACCGAGTTTTTTATTGAATTAAAATTATTTTAGAATGAGGTTGTCCTATCCTACCCAGGACGTCTTGACGTTGAAGCTGTACAGAAGGGTGTGGATGATAGCCAACGATCTCGTGATAATACTGGAGCTTCACCGGAAAATTCCAGCACTTTCCATCATTTTCCTAGCGAAATACCCTTCGGAAACCTAGGAAATACTGATTTTTAATCATTTTTAACATGTACTTTTAAAGTTGCAAAAAGTGTAAATTTAGCAGGCAAATTTTAAAATGAGTTAAATCATGGGGTCGGTTGCAATTATTTACAGCAATGTTTATCAGTGTTTGAATATTAGAAAGTAAATCTGAAGGAAAATTTACGGAGAATTGGTTCAATCTAAATAATACACTTCACAGGAATATAAATCATTAAATCAAATTATTGATTGCCAATCAACTCAATTTTAGATCTCAAATCTCTCTGCTCTCAACTTTTCTTTCACATAAAAGATATATATCAAATATATGCCCGGTGAAAGCTAAATTTACTGCCAAAAAATTATCACTTTTGATTTTTAGTTTTGTTTTATGAAGGTTGCATTACTTTCCATTTTATTTGCTCGTATAAATGATGTAAGTCTAAATTTTTTTTAAAGTCTTGGAAGGTATGAAAATGTTTTGAGCTACAAAAAATAAACAATGATATTAATTAGAAGTAAAGAAGTTAAATCACCTGAAGTTTCTCGCCTGTTATCCCATCAATTCCAGTACACTGGGAAATCTGGAAGTTTAGACAAATTTAATTCAATGTCGTCTTCGTGCCAATCCTTACCACCTTATCTAGAAAGACCATGTAGTGCGGCATCCACATGTTCCAACCAATCAGAAGAGGAGATGATTGCTCTCATTGATCAGATGACCAATCATATGTTTGACACAGAGCAGGGGAACAAGAAAGACGACATTTTAGACCGGCGCACAAATTCTCTGCCAAGAAATCCAAGGTAAATTGACAAATTTGCACTTTGTTTCATTTATTCACAAATTGTTAAAACGTTTTCCCATGGCATAGGGTTAGTTAAGACAAAATATGTTGCTATTATATCAAAATTTATGAGATTTAATCTATAGAACAGTTCGTTTTAACCAGGCCCGTAGCCAGGGGGGGTGTAAGGGTGCAGGTGCACCCCCTTTCTTATGAAAGAGGGGTGCAATGACGAATTTGCCCCCACCCCCTAGTCCTATATAAAAGAAATTGTTTTCATAAGTTTCTAAAATATAGTTATAAATTATACAGCCCGAGTAAGAATGGATTTTCAAACCAAATTATAATCTTTTTGTGCGTTACTCATTAAAAGTGTGACAGAGTTTTTGTGTACTCTCTCAACTCATCCCCTGAGTCATGTCTTTCCTGTGACCTATCGCAGGCTAACTAACAGTTGATCAGTACACTCTGTTGATTAAATATAACACAACATCAAAATTTACTCATAGTCATTTAATAGTATGATTTATTAATTATATGCATAGAGTCCCATGGAAATAAAATGGTAATCTCCTGTACACTTTCAGACTTTTAGCCCCCCCCCCCCTCTTGACAGGTGTGCTATGTTTTACGAGTTTTTTTTTGAGGCATTTCCGTGGTGAGGCGTTTCCATTGCACCCCCTTGACCTTTGAAAAGCTTTTTTTTAAATGAATAAGAAATAAGATCATATCAATTTCATATTGCAAAGTCAAAGTAATAAATGATTACTTGACTCTGTTAGTTAAGCAGTACTCCCTGAAAAGCTCAAATACACTTGTTAAAAAGGTTAGCCTTTATAGTGTGCATTGACAATGTAATAACAACCATATACCACTGTAAAACCAAACCAAACATTGTTGAAAAAATCATTAAAAACCCCCCAAAAATTTGTTTCGCATCTGGCGCGTCATACTGCATCCGCCCTGGTCAAATCCTGGCTACGGGCCTGGTTTAAACAAATCAGAAGCGAACAGGATACGTCTAGCTAACGAGAATAGACCTAACACATTTTTACTTTACATTTATATAGGTGAAACTGTCTTCATTCAACTCAAATCTTTTAACACACAAAAACACGATTAATTAAAAAGAATAAATGTAATTTATTTATTATCTGCTAGAAATCCTGAAAACGTGAGACCAAATACTATGCATAATTTACCTGGTGGCTCCTCATTTCAATCAAAAAGGTTAGTTTAATTAATTTATAAAACATTATAAAAAAATAAACAAGGTAACAAAAATAAAAATAATGTGAATTTAAGGCTTAATAGTCTTGGCAGAAAAGATGGTAACCCCTCTGCTTATGAAAGACTTTTTGGAAAAGGTGAAACATTTTACTTTGTGTTAATGTCAACTCTGAAATCAGATAAAAAGAGAGTTATTCTTTTATAGAAAATCTATCGATGAAAGATTTCCAGAATTCAGTTCAGCAAAATCATTCTCTACCTAAACGGAAAGTGCCAATCTTCATTCAGAAAGCTGGAAGAAGAAAAGAAAAGGTAAAAAATCATTACTACACAGGATATCCCATTTCAATGAATACAAATCAATATAATGTCGTCTTCAAAAAAGGTTTATGTTTTTTTAAACGTTATGAAAAATTCCTTTTTAGAAAAAATAGTTTTTATCATAAAAAAAAAATAATTTTTAAGCCCCACAAGAAAAAAACAGTTATTGAAGAACTCCATATTTTAAATACATTAAATAGATACATTACAATTTACAACCTGTATATTGAAGTTGGTGTGCTAAAGAGTATAATATATTTTTTTATAGTTCACTATGTTTATACCGGTTCAAATTTCCTGACCATCTAATGTCGATCAGATAATATGTTAGACACAATTATCTTATCTTTCTCCCAGAGCCCGTAAACGTTAATTGTGACAACCTAAATATTTTATCTATAGACTGAAACATTATTAATTAATGCGTGTTCTGGAGGGTTGGACAAACTTAAGAAGTCAAAAAAGGGAAAGCCTTTCTTGTAGAAAGAGCCCTTGATGGTTTTATAGTTGTAATCTACGTTTCAGCAAACCATTTAATATTTTTTCCCAACACCTCTCTGGAGCAAATTTTGTCCAAATCTTTCAAAATCCTGCTTAATACAACTTTTTCTGCAACACCAGCAGATGCCAAACTCATCAAACTTCATCAACTAAGAAGCCTTGTGAATTTTATCTGAAAAACTTTCAATTATGTCAACTGTTTGTGGATTTTTCCTGCTCAGACATTTCCTCTTTCTGCCAACACACTCTCCATTACACTTTTTCCCTTTTAATCCACACGTAGACTGTTGCCTTGTCCATTATATTCTCTCCAAATGCATTTTGGATCATGTCAAAGGTGTCTGCTTTGAATTTGGAAAGTTCCTGTGCTGTGACATCGGAGCTAAACAACCTCCGGAAAAATGCGAATTTCATAGAAATAAAAAGTTTGATGAATAAAGTCTGTTGGGAGAGCTCAACCGTGATGGATACATCGAGCTTTGAAAAAAAATACAGGGCTGAGACGTCTAGAAGTATTTTTAAAATTTTTTTTTGCAAAACTTATTAAACATTCCTCGAATAATGAAGTGGGTTTGCATGGGATAGCAAATAACATTGCATGTATATTGTAGTTGGTTTGCAAAAGCTGAAATCATTACATGTTAAGTTTTTTTGGTAATTGTAAAAGCTGAATACATTACTTGTATATTGTAATTGGTTTGCAAATGTTGAATACATTATCTGTATATCGTAGTTGGTTTGCAAACGTTGAGTACATTACCTTGTAGCTGTATATTGTAGTTGGTTGACAGGAATTGCAGTTTACTTCCAGTTAAAAGTAAGCTTACAAGCTCTAGTCCTAGTCTAATAAACAGGTAAATAAATCAAATAATCAAAAAATGTGTTGAGGCCAGAACCATAAAGAGCAATAGTTGATATCTGTCTATCAAATGTTTCTGTAAGATGACTGACACTTGTCTACCTCAGAAGTATTTATCCTGCAGTATTAACCGGTTTCACAAAGAAAATCCCCAATTTAATCCTTTTGAATTCATGGTAAATTAATTATTTATAACACTGCTATTTGGTTAGCAGTGTTATAAAGTTTCTAGGCAGAAATTTTCCCTTTATCGAGAAGGTTCAAGCGTTTTTAGATTTAATTTTGTCCCAAGCAGCTAGGGACAAAATTAAATCTAAAAAGGCGAGAACCTTCGAGATATAGAGAAATTTTATGTCCAAAAACTTTATAGCACCTACGTGCCAAAATAATAGTGTTATAGGTAATTTTTTAGAAACGTTATTGCACTTGTCTTATTTCAAATAAATATTTTGGAAATATCCTAATTTTTTTGGAGAAAATCCGAGAACCAATCAAAACCTTACAGCACACGTGCTATAATTTACAGCTAATTTAACATTATAGCACGATGATTGCTTTATAGCACGTTCATTATGAAATTCACGATGAAGTGAGTAATAATGATAAAGTACACTATTATAGTTTCATAAAAATAGTTTAAATTCCTTCGAAAAATTAACAGATTTTCCAGTTAATTTGGAAAATTTCAGTTTTTCAGACACCATATTATTTTACATTAAACTAATAGACTAAAATAAATGCTTATTGTTTAGAAGTTGTATAAGTCCAGGAGCTGATTATTGTCCAGATTACGTAAAGTCAAGTCAACATACTGAAAGGTAGAAAAATAATTCTTGCCATTTGAAAATGAATTCCAAAATGAGATTATTTAGCGATTTTTTAATTAAACTTTATTAACGGCTTTCTATTATTATTATTTGTTTTGTTTATTTTATCGCTAATTTAGAAAGCTGGATTCAAGTTGTATCGACGGAGTTCTTGGAGCTCCAGATAAAATACATATTCCGCAGAGATATATTCCGGAACAGGTATTCTGTTTTTTTTTATAGTATTCCTCAGAGATATTTTCCGGAACAGGTATTCTGTTCTTTTTATAGTTTTCCTCAGAGATATTTTCCAGAACAGGTATTCTATTCTTCTTACATTTATTCCGCTGAGATATATTCCGAAACAGGTATTCCGTTCGTTTTACATTTATTCCACAGAGGTATATTCCGGAATAGGTATTTCGTTCTTTTTACATTTATTTCACAGAGGTAAATTCCGGAACAGGTATTTTGTTCTTTTTACGTTCATTCCACAGAGGTATATTCCGGAACATGTATTTTGTTCTTTTAACGCTTATTCCACAGAGGTATATTCCTGAACATGTATTTAGTTCTTCTTACATTTATTCCACAGAGATATATTCCGGAACAGGTAATCCGTTCCTCTTACATTTGTTCTGCAGTGATATATTCCGGAACAGGCATTCCGTTCTTCTTACATTTATTCCGCAGTGATATATTCCGGAACAGCCTAGGTATTCCGTTTTTTTACATTTATTCCGCAGTGATATATTCCGGAACAGGTATTCCGTTCTTTTTACATTTATTCTGCAGCGATATATTCCAGAACAGGTAATCCGTTCTTCTTACATTTATTCTGCAGTGATATATTCCGGAACAGGTAATCCGTTCTTCTTACATTTATTCCGCAGTGATATATTCCGGAACAGGTATTCCGTTCTTTTTATTAAGTTAAGTCTTCTAGATCGGATAAAGTCTTAAGAAATGGTTGATTAAATTTTTTGATAAAGAAAAACACAATTTCACAGTTGCGGGCATCATGAATATGAGGAAACCGACAGCTTACCTTTCGTACAGTCGTTTCTGAAGTCTCATTCTTTGTGGGTAACCCTGTATATATTTTATATTTAAACCTTTTTTTGATCATCGACGGCAGATAAATCCTTGTGTTTATATTTAAAATTTTGTTCAAATTTCAGTGTACGCTAACGTTCAAAACAGCTGACTATATATATTTCTCATGAATTCCAAACAGGACCTTTCAGTAAAATCGTTTCTAGCCATTAACTTATAAATTATGGAGTATTTTTCGTTTGAAAATGGAGTTTTCCGTAAATTTTCAAAACTTTCACTTGTTAATGGAATGTTGTCCATTCCTTTTACCTACCTACACATGCATTATCTGTAGGAGGAGAACGTCGGAGAAGAAGAGAGGAGAAAGAAAATGGAGAAAGTAGAAAATATAAAAAAGATGTTAGGTAAACAAATAAGAAAACATATAACTAAGCATGAAGAAATAATATAAAATAGTAAAAATATGTGAGAAAAAAAACAATCAGAGAAATGTGAATGTTATTCATTTTTTTCAAAATTAAATTCGCGCTTTATCCGTAGAAATTATTTGTTACATGTGTTTGTACTTTGTACCTTTAGGTTGTTCTGATCAGGTTAATCAGTCTCTATCTACATTTAGGTTGTTCTGATCAGATTAATCAGTCTCTATCTACATTTAGGTTGTTCTGATCAGGTTAATCAGTCTCTATCCTTGAACCAGATTATAGCTAAGCAGGTCATGCAGAGGAGTAGACGAATTGCAGGTTAGTCCACTCTCAGCTGTGAAATTTAGTGTTGGAGACTCTCGATATCGACAATTGGTACTTTTATTTTGAGGATCAATGAAATACTATACCTTTCCAAGTTTCTATATCTTCATTTTTGGTTTTTCTTCCCTGATCAAATCTCCCTTCAACTCCAAACTTAGAACAATAACCATGCGGATATCGAATAAAGATTAAATTTATCTGTAGATTAACATAAGATCAATATCAAGCACTGATCTCAATATCCACAATACAAGAGTTCCTAGATCCGGATACACAAATCTTTATTTGAGAGCAAGTTTTTAAAGTTAATAACGAAATTGTTTGAATAAAAGATTAGTTCAAAATCCCTCTTATATTTAAACAATTTTGTTAGTTTGAAAATATACTGGCTCTCAAGAAATGTTTTCGTGTCGTCACACTCACTCCAAACAATACCAATGGACAAGTTTTTTTACGTAATACATTTCTGAAATACAAACTTTGAATGAATAAATTCCGGAAAAATACAATGAACAGAAACAAATTCCTAAAAAATGAAACTTCATGAAAAATTCCAGGGGGACTAAACAACTTAATTGCTTAAATGCCAAATGTGTGACTTGACTTGGATGTAAAATTAATAATATAAAAATACCTCTATATGTTTTTTCAGCTGACGCAGCCCGTTCCTCCGTTGTAAATCCGGGAAATCCTGAAGATGATGAAGACGATCTTTCAGATTCCTCGCCTGATGTTCCACTTCCGCTTCGCCAGCAGAGAGAGAGCTTTCTCATTTAAAATTGCGCGTTTTCCAAAACTACTCGTGTTTCCCCACTCTCATGTCTCGTTTTTAAATTCATAAAATCCTTTTTGATAACAAATTGCTTGTTTATATTGCTTTTACAAAACTACATGTGGTTTTTGAATTCAAAATTTTAGTTATTTTCTGTATTGTTAAATTTTAATGGGTTTCTACAGAATATGTGATTTCATGCCTCGCATTTTTTTTCTTAAAAATATAATGCAGAAGACATCTCTGCAGAACCAAATAAAAGTGTACAAACTACAAATACAGCCAAATTGTTTTATCTTAAAAAGTGATGGTTTGCTTATTGTTTAAATAAATTTTTGCAACATAAATTGTTTGATTGTTATCTTTTTAGCAATTTTTTTAAAATATGTGTATTATGCATTTGGAGAGAATCTATCAGACCACAACTTGAGGACCTACGAGGCCATCAATTTGTACCAGTAATGTAACATAATGTTCTCGCGCTATCTATAAAAAATTATGATTTACTATTTAAAAAGGTCCTAGACTGTCTGGCAATAAAATTCGATGAATAGTTTGCCATAGTATCGAGAATTTCAGCTCCACATTGGCTCTGTCTGTGATGTTTCCACATCCAAAAATGTGGTTATTAATCACCCCATTCTAAAAATAGCATGATCCGAGCCGGTACAACATATATACTTCATTTGCATTCACTTATACTGTCCAGTCTGGACTACCAACACAGTGATCTTGCTACCTTACATGTGTTTGATAAAACATGCTGTATCGACTCTGGGTCTACACTGGAGTGCCCTGCACGTTTAATTCAAGAACAATGTAGCAAGATCACAGTTTGATATGTATTTTCTAAAGGGTGACAAGTAAACACTCCCTTTAAGCAACATAATACAGTCGTCGTCGTATATATCAATACAAAGAAGACGACGTTCTATGTCAATTTTTGATTTCTACTCATCTTTAATAAGCAGAGACACATGTAAACAAAGAGAAGTTGTTTACTAACAACTTCTCTTTGTTTACTTGCAAGTTGCAAACTTATAATTTGACAAATGTGTGCTGGATACAGAGCATCATAAATAAAATGTCGTTAAAATTGTATTGATATAATCAGCGACCACTGTAAAATATTATATATATCCACTATGTCTTCTTAAAAATTCCAGTAATTCTTAAACTTAGTGTAAGAACCCATTTACTTGTTAAATGCAGATTCTTCTTATTCACAAGATTGTACATTTCTGGGGCTATTTATTTTAAATATAAATATAAAGTATTTTAAGTGTTTTACGCAATTGTTGACGGATTTTAAATGAAAGATCAAATATGACATAAATATACTCACATATACTCCATTTGTGACAGGATTAAATTTATTGTAGTTAGCTATACGTAATATATGCATCAAAGGGTTCAAAGGATATTATAATTTCTTCAAAACATATATGTTTATGTTTTTCCGACTTTATAATAGAACCCCACGGGGTGTATTGTACGAACTTTATTCTTTATTTAATTGGAAAATATAAATCCATTAAATTCATTATGTTTCACAAACAAGTCTAATTTATAATAATTACAGTGCCCCTGCCCACTCTATATTTTAGTAAACATGTTTACTGGGTATAGTAGTACTTAAACCATCAAACGGAGAGAAACAAATTTAGCTGGTATTTTTAATCAAAAATTTTTTCACACTTTATAATTTAAACGAAATATTTTCAGTGGTTTTAACTCTCGGTGTTATTTTGCTCTTATTGAGAAGTATCTCTGATTATGAGAAAAATGTCTCATAAAAAAAGTTTAATGGAGGATCGTCAACCAAAAAAACTAATGACCTAAATTTGTTTTTAAAATTACAATCTAAGTTTAACATTTGGGAAAGTGTTTCAATGTTTTTGAAAAAAAGATAATCTTTAAATAAAAAGTTGATAATTATTATAGATTTGACCAATTTTCAAAAAATTCTGGCAATAAAAAAAAGGTGAAATTTGACATTGTATTATTCAATAATATCTCTGAATAAAAAAAGGGTTGCTGTAAATTGAAATTAAAGAACGAGAAATATGGTTAGAAAAATTAATAATATTCCGGCACACATCCTATTTGATATTGTGTAAATATAAACACTTGTAAACTGTTTTTTTCTATTAACATATCACAGGAAATACACTCATTGAAATCTTACAGACATTAAACGCTATATACAAAGGGATATACGCAAAGAATGAGTCTTAGATGACAACTTGCTACACCTAGTTGAACAAATTGTAAACTTTTTCAAAAGTGTAACCTTACAAAAATACAATGTTATAGAGAAAGAGACAATCTAACTGTAACACTAGCTGAGCTAATTGTAACAACTAGCTGAGATAATTGTAACAGCTAGCTGAGCTAAGTGTAACAGCTAGCTGAGCTAATTGTAACAACTAGCTGAGATAATTGTAACAACTAGCTGATTTAATTGTAACAGCTAGCTGTAGGAAACCGTAAGAAAAAAAAACTTTACAAATTCCGTACAGTCATCTCAGAAGTCTCATGCTTTGTGGGTAACCCTGTACGCAGTATTCTGAGACACAGTTATGAGCTAAAATAACCAAGTGGCATTTTTCTTTAACTTCAAAGAAATTGAGCCTTTGTCGCAAATTATAATTTTTTTAATTCTTATAACTTTGCAACTTATCCGAGTAGACCTTAAATATTACAAGCTATGAATTTTGTATATCTTTGTAACCCAATGGAGTAGAATAGATATTTCAAACCATGAATTTTCTTAGATCAAATAAAAGTTTGAAATATCAAAGGTTCTAAACGTCAGGTTTTCAAGGTATAAAAAATAGAAAATTTGAGTGTGTGTCAAAGATCATTTGGTATTTTGTTATTTTCTTCAACATATTGACTTTGTCTTACTTATAATGATATTTTTCTTTGTCAACTTTAGTTTGAATGATGAAAGCTTTGGGTTTGACTCTCCTTCTGTACGATTTGGTACTGCAAAGAAGTGCCCACGCAGTAAACAGCAGTACAAACATAATAACTGCAGCTGGAACCAAACGTACTGCATTACATACTGTACATGTAAACACAGTTTGGGATATTTATGAGCGAACGAGGTTTAAAACAGGTATAAATTAGGATAACTTCTGAATCATTTAAGTTGATAGAGCAAGTTGTGTACATTGTAAAACTACAGCTTATGACAGTTCATAATAGGAATTATCTCATTATAGTGTAATTTTTGTGATACACAATATAGTTTTTAACTCTTAAAACGTTGAAGACAGGGAATTGCAGTTTTTTACCTTTTTAATGAATTACCTATCTGTATTAAGTGTACTTCTACCTTTGTAATGATACTATCTGTATTTAGTCTACTACTACCTTTGTAATTATACTTTCTGCATTAAGTATATTTACTACCTTTGTAATGATACTATCTGCATTTAGTCTACTACTACCTTTGTAATGATACTATCAAGTATTAAGTCTACTACTACCTTTGTAATGATACTATCTGTATTAAGTTTGCTACTACCTTTGTAATGATACTATTTGTATTTAGTCTATAACTACTACCTTTGTAATGATATTATCTGTATTAAGTCTACTACTACCTTTGTAATGATACTATCTGTATTAAGTCTACTACNATCATTAACACCCTGTATTTTAATTTATCTCTACATAAAAATCCCTCTGATCTCACCCTGCCACAGATCACCTGACAATCTCCTTCCTTCCTACCAAATTCTTACCTATCCAAAAACATATCTTGATATGTGTAACCAATTATATTCAGTATCGCTAATTAACTTAGGGCCAACCACTCAAAACAACAAACCCTGGTTTGGCGGGTCCAAACTGCATAGTAAATTGTGATTGCTTATTTGTAATATCTCATGCTTTGTAGTTGAATGAATGAATATTAGATTTTTTCAAAAATTATTAATTTTTTTTAAAACGTACTAAATAAAATAAAATAAATTTTAAATACATTTTTATCTTTCAAAACGGTCATTGTTTTCGAAACTATCGTGTTTCTACTTTAAAAATGATCGTTTTTTAAAACGATCGTTTTGAAAATTATAGTTTTCTTTTTTTTTCCTGAGAAACTATCATTGTTAACAAAACGAAACGAATGTTTTTCAAAAAAGCCAAAACTGCCCAGCCCTACTTCTACCTTTGTAATGCATATTCTATCTGTATTTAGTCTACTTCTACCTTTTGTAATAAAGTTCCAATCTATATTAAGTCTACTTCTACCTCTGTAATGAATATACTATCTGTATTTAGTCTACATCTACCTTTTTGTAATAAAGTTCCTATCTATATCAAGTCTACTTCTACCTCTGTAATGAATATACTATCCGTATTTAGTCTATTTCTATCTCTGTACTGAATATACTATCAGTATTTAGTCTACTTCTACCTCTGTAATGAATATAATATCTGTATTTAGTCTACTTCTACCTCTGTAATGAATATACTATCCGTATTTAGTCTACTTCTACCTCTGTAATGAATATAATATCTGTATTTAGTCTACTTCTACCTCTTTAATGAATATAATGTCCGTATTTAGTCTACTTCTACATCTGTAATGAATATACTATCAGTATTTTGTCTACTTCTACCTCTGTAATGAATATAGTATCCGTATTTAGTCTACTTCTACCTCTGTAATGAATATACTATCCGTATTTAGTATACTTCTACCTCTGTAATGAATATACTATCCGTATTTTGTCTACTTCTACCTCTGTAATGAATATACTATTCGTATTTTGTCTACTTCTACATCTTTAATGAATATACTATCCGTATTTTGTCTACTTCTACCTCTGTAATGAATATACTATCCGTATTTAGTCTACTTCTACCTCTGTAATGAATATACTATCGTATTTAGTCTGCTTCTACCTCTGTAATGAATATACTATCCGTATTTAGTATAGTATCCGTATTTAGTCTTCTTCTACCTCTGTAATGAATATACTATCCGTATTTAGTCTACTTCTACCTCTGTAATGAATATACTATCCGTATCTAGTCTACTTCTACCTCTGTACTGAATATACTATCTTTATTTAGTCTACTTCTACCTCTGTAATGAACATACTATCCGTATTTAGTCTACTTCTACCTCTGTAATGAATATACTATCCGAATTTTGTCTACTTCTACCTCTGTACTGAATATACTATCCGTATTTAGTCTACTACTACCTCTGTAATGAATATACTATCCGTATTTAGTCTACTACTACCTCTGTACTGAATATACTATCTGTATTTAGTCTACTTCTACCTCTTTAATGAATATACTATCCGTATTTAGTCTACTTCTACCTCTGTAATGAATATACTATCTGTATTTAGTCTACTACTACCTCTGTACTGAATATACTATCTGTATTTAGTCTACTTCTACCTCTGTAATGAATATACTATCCGTATTTAGTCTACTTCTACCTCTGTAATGAATATATTATCCGTATTTTGTCTACTTCTACCTCTGTACTGAATATACTATCCGTATTTAGTCTACTTCTACCTCTGTAATGAATATACTATCCGTATTTAGTCTACTTCTACCTCTGTAATAAATGTACTATCCGTATTTAGTCTATTTCTACCTCTGTACTGAATATACTATCCGTAATTAGTCTACTTCTACCTCTGTACTGAATATACTATCCGTATTTAGTCTACTTCTACCTCTGTAATAAATATACTATCCGTATTTAGTCTACTTCTACCTCTGTAATGAATATACTATTCGTATTTAGTCTACTTCTACCTCTGTAATGAATATACTATCCGTATTTAGTCTACTTCTACCTCTGTACTGAATATACTATCCGTATTTAGTCTACTTCTACCTCTGTAATGAATATACTATCAGTATTTAGTCTACTTCTACCTCTGTAATGAATATACTATCAGGATTTAGTCTACTTCTACCTCTGTAATGAATATACTATCCGTATTTAGTCGACTTCTACCTCTGTAATGAATATACTATACGTATTTAGTCTACTTCTACCTCTGTAATGAATATACTATCAGTATTTAGTCTACTTCTACCTCTGTAATGAATATACTATCCGTATTTAGTCTACTTCTACCTCTGTAATGAACATACTATCCGTATCTAGTCTACTACTACCTCTGTACTGAATATACTATCTGTATTTAGTCTACTTCTACCTCTGTAATGAAGACGATGAAAAATTGCTTGAGCTTCTCTACGCTTTCTACAATACAGATATGAATTTGAATCCTAAAGTTAGACAAACCATGGTAAAATATTCTCATACAATAAAAGGGTTGGATGCTTTTTTGATACTCTTATATTACTTATAGTAATACTCATTTCCACAGTATTTTAGCACAAAGTACACCAACAACAACATTACAAGCAAAGTAAAACAAAAATATTTCAACATAAAAAATAATTTAAAAAAAAAAAGTAATTTGGTCTGAAAAAAATGTTAAGTGATTTTATTTTAACAGTGTAAAAAAAGGAGAAAACCGTGAAACAAAATCAAGAAATCCGCAATTCGTATTGGAGAAATTCTCCACACGTTGAAATGAGAGGAACTCAATGGCGGAATTAATTATGATACTCAACCAGTACTTCAGATCAAATTCCTTACTAAAAATTACTTATACCAAAAGTTACTTGGACAAAATGTTAATTACTCCTTTCTTAAATTTAGTTAAACCAATTCTGTAGTTTTAGACCAATTTACTTACTGAAAGTTACTTAGACGAAATGTTACTTAGACCAAATGTTACATAGACGAAATGTTACTTAGACGAAATGTTACTTAGACGAAATTTTACTTAGACCAAATGTTACTTAGACCAAATGTTACTAGACCAGATGGTATTAGACGAAAGTCTACTAGACGAAATGTTACTGAGCCGCAAGCAGTAAAGGGGTAAAGTCAGTTTAATTTAAAACTTAAAAAAAAAAATTATTTAGGAGAACATGAGACCTGTTTATAAAGAAGGAAGTCTAATTTACTTTTGTCAGACACCGGAGAAGAATTTAGAAATTAAAGGAATCCTATTTTATGTTTTTATCCAAATTCTGTCGTTTTTAAACCAAATTTTCTCTGCTCTTGTTTTAATAGAACGACAACTTATAACTCAAAGACAAGTTAAGAACTATAAATCTAATCAAAGTTCAAAATTAATGGAAAGTGAAACGTTGACACAAATAGTTGAAAATACACACAATTGTTGTGTAGGAAACATTTCATTAAAATAGTTCAACTAGCTATACCAAGTCAAATTAATGCTTGCTATACAGACCTCAGATCTAGATCATATTTCTTCAAATATATAATGAAAAAAATTGCCTGATCGATAGGATCTTCAATCGGTGTATTTGTAAACACAGTTGATATTGAATATGTGAAAAAGATCAGAATTGAGGGCGCAGGAAAGAAATTTTAAATTAATCTTGAAATTATACTAAAAAAATTAATGAAAAAACAAAATTTTACGATCCAACAATTTTCTACTAAATTTTTATTATTAAATTTCGAGATAAATTAGTTAATCATTTTTTACATAAACTAAACACAAAAATATGGGGAAATACATGGTGAACATTTAATAAAATCTCAAATAATTTTTTCTTCAATTTATTATAAAAATTCTTTCTGAAGACAATCAAGTATTTTTTGTAAATGAGGAGGGGTTTGTGAACGAGTTACATGTTTATAAGGTTAGTAAATAATAATAATAATAATAATAATAATAATAATAATAATAATAATAATAATAATAATAATAATAATAATAATAATAATAATAATAATAATAATAATAATAATAATAATAATAATTATAAAAATGATAATAATAATAATAATAATAATAATAATAATAATAATAATAATAATTATAAAAATGATAATAATAATAATAATAATAATAATAATAATAATTATAAAAATGATAATAATAATAATAATAATAATAATGATAATAATAATAAAAGTAAGAACAATAATGATAACAACAATAGTAATGATACTGCCTAGGCTGTAACTAGTGAGGTGAGCTACGGAGTCCGTCTTAATAGTGATCCACAGACTCATGAAAGGAAAGTTTAAAAATAAAATTTTAAAAAAACGTTTTGTCAGAATGTAAACTTCTAATTTAAAAAGCATTAAATAGACTTTAGACACAATTTCTTAACTTTGTCAGATTCACAAGAGTGTCCTGTAAACTTAATCTCAACTCTTATTGTACAAAGTAATTTATAATAACAATAAATTGGTTCCTTAAGGCTTGAGCCTCATTTTAGCCGATCTATGGCAGCTTAGTCTTGAGACTAATTTTCCCAGGTTCAGGTTAGATCGCGGCCTCAGGGAAACGTGTCAAAACGTACCCCGGTTTGTGCGTCTCAAGGGCGGCCAGGGGGAACGGGATTCTGTTCTTTCTCTGCCGTCCGAGGGCCGGCGATTGATAGATAAAAAAATCTAAAATTTGTAAAAAAGTTTTTTAATACTCTAGAGTAAATTTAAGAGGAATGCAGCTAATAGTCGGGTACTTAAACGCATCCTCCTATGTACAGTAAGAAAAATAAATCGAATAGTCGGGTACTTAAACACATCCTCCTATGTACAGTAGTAAAATAAATCTAATAGTCGGGTACTTAAACACATCCTCCTATGTACAGTAAGTAAAATAAATCGAATAGTCGGGTACTTAAACACATCCTCCTATGTACAGTAAGTAAAATAAATCGAATAGTCGGGTACTTAAACACATCCTCCTATGTAACAGTAAGTTAAATAAATAGAATAGTCGGGTACTTAAACACATCCTCCTATGTACAGTAAGTTAAATATATCGAATAGTCGGGTACTTAAACACATCCCCCTATGTACAGTAAGTTAAATATATCGAATAGTGGGTACTTAAACGCATCCTCCTATGTACAGTAAGTATAATAAATCGAATAGTCGGGTACTTAAACACATCCTCCTATGTACAGTAAGTAAAATATATCGAATAGTCGGGTACTTAAACACATCCTCCTATGTACAGTAAGTTAAATAAATCGAATAGTCAGGTAATTAAACGCATCCTTATATGTTACAGGAGTTACAGTAAGTAAAATAAATCGAATAGTCATTAAAGGGACTTTATAGATTAGCTTATTTGAAGTGACCCTCTATGAGAAGATGGTATGCCCGATTTACATCGGTACCCTTGAAACCTTGATATCATAAAAAATTTGAAAGCTAACGTAGTTTTTCTGACTCGAAAAGTATTTATTTCTGTATATATCTCTATTGTTACTTAAAAGCATGAAATGCGCCATAAATGAAAATGAATTAAAAGAGGCATGGATTTCTAATTCACACTTGATCAGACAAAGCTTTTACGGGTATCGTTGTAAATCGGGCATTGCCATGTTAACATTGAGAACTGCACATGGAAGTGCACTTATAAATAAAATCTCTGTAATTCAGGTACAATGGACAGTTTTCAGGAACTCAGGGAATGCTTTTTGAGCTGATGAAAGGTAAATATTCTTTATTTTTGTTCAAACGGATTGTTCATAAAATAAGGGGTATACAATTTGTCCATGAAAAACATACCAAGTCGCATTTTTCCCTTTTTTTAATGTTCAAGCTACTGCTAAATGTATTTAATTTAGAAGAACATGAAATGCAAATATTATTGCTGAAATGTTTTCCTGAAAAATCAAGAAAACTCTGTTTAAAATCTGTAAAAATTCATAAGTATCAGACTTCTTAAAATTCTCTAAATTAATTATTTTAAATAATGCCTTGGAAGGAAAAATTTTTCTTGCCAGAATTAAACGTTTCAACAAATAAAAAATATTGATCTATTTCTGACAAAGAATTATCTTTATTTTTAAACCACCAAGCAGAACACGCTGTCAAAACTTAAAAGAATGTTAATAATTAAGGTTGCATTGCTATTTAGAAATACAATTTTAGGAATGATGAATTTTACATATTCGGCGTTACCCAGTGTGGACGGATTTTATGGTTCAAAGGTTAGTTTTTTAAACAAATTCTTTAATATTTTTTAACTTTTTAAGAATTTTTTTAAACAAGGTTTGCTCTATAGAGGCGTTATAGGGCATTTTTAATGCTAATAAGAAGTAATTATATTTACACTTTTATAAAATCAGAGCATAACCTTACTTTACAAAACTACTCTAAAGTTACGGAGCGATTTTACTGGATCATTTCTGTATAAAACTATCCACATCACTAGAAAATTTATGAGAAGATAGTTGTAACGCACAAAGATCCAGACTCCTACGAAAAGATGCATCGATTTTTAAGACTGGGTCGACTTGGAAATGTGGAAACGCCTTGGCTTTTGATTTTACCTCACACATTTACATATACTTGTATATAGTATAATGGCCTGCTTATAGATATTCTTCTATCTACCAATCTATATTATTCAGGGCTAGTGTGTAAGCGTACATGTCATTTTGTGGGTGCAGCTTCACAGCTGTTATATCTAATTGTATTATATGTGTTTAAAAAATTTTTAAAACCTTTGCGTAGTTTACTTTAGGTTTCACTCTAACCAATTCTCATTCTGGCCATCGTGCATTATATAAAAATAATTAAGCTTGAAGTGAAGTTTAGGGTCCAAATTAGAGAAGAACTTTGGTAGATCGTGGGCCCTGGAGAAAGCAGAAATAAGATACCGTAGCTAAAATCTTGTGAACATAGCATTGCCTCCAAAGAGATGGTAGCATAAACAGCGCCTTGTTTTCAGAATTCAAAATGTGGTCTGTCGTTTTTGTACCTTAAGAATTGACCGAGATATTGAGAAATTTGTTCAAAATTCAAAATATTAAATATAACCAAGGTTGTTTAAATCTTTAGTATCTCCAACAATTTTTATAATACAAAGAATGAGGCTAAATTTCACCAAGGTTTAAAGACTTAGAATGTTTTTCTTTACTTTTTTGACATCTATTAACAAAACCAAAGACAAAGTGTACGTCCAGGGTCCAATGTCGAACGTATTGCATAACACCCCAGCGAAATAATTACATCAAACCTTGAGTATTAAATATCCATGGTATGTAGCCTTATTCATTTCATTTTAGAGCTAATAAGTGCTTGATTTTAGCTTTAGTTTTTAAAAAGTAATTGGCAAAATTATTGTCGATTTTAGCGTGGGACCTTGCGACTTTTAGACCACTGTAAACTGAATAGAATTGACCCGGAAAAAATGTTGATATGTTTTCCTGTATTTGTCAAGGTTGAGGGAGGTATGAAACACAAGGGCAAAACCTCCCAGTTTAATGGACTGATAGGTATGCTGGAGAGATCGGAGATCGATGTCGCTCTTTCTGATCTTTCTCTGACATTCACCAGATCTCAGGTATATCACTGTGAACTAGGCAGATGGAGAAGGTCAAATTTATGTGACACTACTGGTACCACTTTGTGACCTCGTAGCTCCTCAACACATATCCCTCGCTACGCTCTGGAAGTTTTGTAGGGAAAATATATTTTTTTGATGCAGACGCTCAAAGGAATTACGCGCAGTCGGCGTAGAATTACAAGTCAAAGAGAGAGCATGTTCTTCGCCGACTACGCCTAACTCCTTTGGACTTCTACCTCAGGGTTTTTGTGCACAAAAAAACCCTAAATCTTAAAAAAGACGAAATCTAGTGTCCTATCTGTTATTTTGAAATGAGGATGCAAAAACTTTGCTTTATGGAATGATTTTAAAAATCTTATGAATGAAAATGTCTAGGTTGCTGATTTTGGTGGAAAGATGCTTTTACAACCGACCTACTGTTTAATAACTAAACCAGGGAAGGAAATCTCCTACGAAGCTTATGTAAACCCTCTAGGGAAGGTATGTACAGTTTTTGTACACTGTGTACAGATAGGTTTTATAAAAAAATATTTATTAAACTACATATAGTGCACTTTAACACTTATGGTTAATTCATGATTAATTCATAATTCATCAGTGATTTAAAGAAATTTAAGTTAGCTGAATATTATATTATTTATATGCTAGCACTGCACTGTGCTTTAAAGTTTGATTGTTTATTCCAGATTGGATATATGATATTATAACTACGAGAATAATTTATTTAAATTCAGATAAAATAAAATTGAATTTTTTTTTTTAATTTTTTTGTTCTGATTTAACTTTAGTTTTCATATTTTTTTCAAAGATTTAAGGCAATCCCAAAAAATTAGAAGTTGGGGACACAAAATTATTCATAATTTAAAAAAAATTTCTTCTACATAAAATTATACGGAGTCTAAGTTATCAATTTATCCTGTCTCAATATGAAAATTAAGGATATTTGGATGTGGGTTTTCATTTGTACCATTGGCTTAACGACCTACATGTTCGGCCTGCAGTATGTTTCTGGAATGTTAAGTACAGAAAAAATCAAATCTCAGGTATCTACATTATTGAAATACATCAATTAAATCTTTAAAATGTACCAACAGATAACTCTCTCTATATATATATAACGTCTGTTTGTCTGTTTGTTTGTATGTCTGATCCTAACTCATGCACCTCATAACTCATATTTGAATGGGAACTCAGGAGAACCGCGAGAATGTTCTTAGTTCGATTTTGAGATTCTAAGTTGAGCCTGGGCAACACTGGGTTCTCAAGCTAGTCAACGATAAGTCACTAATGGAGAGAGAATAATATCTTTAAAGTCAAAGGAATTGAGTCTTTACCACAAACTTGGCTTTTCTAATCCCAATATCTTTTCAGTCTGATGATGTAAATCTTCGACATTTCAAACTTGAGCTTTTTGATATATCTTCGACATTTCAAACTTGAGCTTTTTGATATAAGAGAATTTAAAAATTAAAATATCAAAGGTCTGCGACGTCGGCTTTTAAAGATATAGGGATTTAAACTTTTGAGTTTGTGGCAAAAACTCATTTCCTTTGCTAAAAAGATTTTTATAAATGAACAAAAAAAGGACAAATTGACAATATTTACTGAATATGAATTTTTTTCACCCTCTTTTGGTGGCATAATTGAACATATTAGAGATTTTTATCCATTCTTCAAAAACTCTAAAACTTGTTTTTATAGAAAAATTACGATAGAAAAATTACGAATCTTGGGTTAAAAATTATGAACCGAATCTTAGAGATATCACACGTAATTTTCGATATTCCATGAGCTCTGTTTGAAAACTTTAACAATTTGTAATTTTTTGTTGTATAATTAAGGATGAAACTATACCTGGAAAGATTCTGATATCCCTAGGATATGTCTGCAGGACAATGGCAAATATTGATCTTTTTCTTTTAGAAATCATCAAGTATGCAAAGAAAATGAGTACATGTATCAAACTCTAGTTTTTAATCCCCAGATACCATCGCAATATAATATATAGTTTAAACTTTGTATGCCAAAAAATGCCAAAGGTTTACAACATCATGGGAGCAAAGATATGTCGCTTAGAATATTTTTAAATACTAAATTTCTATTTAATTTCATTTTTTGTCTTTGCGCTGATCAACATGACACAGCTTTTTAAATTTTCTAAATCCAAAAAACCTTTGAAAATTTTATCTGATCAATAATGAAAAAGAAATAATTGTTTTATAGCTTGATAATTCCTACATTTTTACTAAAGCAAAAATGCACAAAAAATGAAAAATTAAGAAAAAAAGGACATACAGTGAAACCCTTAATAACGAATACATCGAAAGAATTCATCAAATGTCGTATTCTTCACTTTCTGATAATGGAATGTTGCATATATTTAGTTTTTTAATTAAATGATTATATGGAACTCTTTAAAACTGTTCCCGCATATTCATTGCTATTTATTTACTTTTGCAAGTACTGAAATTTACGTAATATAGTATAAAACTCATTGAAAAAGTGTCAAGACGACATTTGATAAATTCTTCCGATGTATTCGTTAT